TTGTAGCCCCATTTTAGGTATTCCAATCAGTTATAGGCAGAAGATGGATTTACAAGCTTTCTATGGTGATGCTTTTCGCTATTCCTTTCTCTCCCCTCCAGTGTCTATTTTATAATATAGTGCAAGGAAAACCAAGATTCAAAAGAGTTTGTCTATCTTTTGATGTGAAGGATAAAAGTTGATAAATGGGTCAAGATTTGGAGGAAGAGACAGACTGAGCTGGGTCTGGTGGCTCCCAGATTGCCCAATTCCAACCAGAGTCCCAACTCAATCTAGGGGCGATCAGGAAAGGTCTCCCTGAGGAGGTGATATTTGAACTGAGTTGAGCAGGCTGGACAGGAAGTGACCTGATATGGTGTGAGAAGTGAAAGGAAGCATTTGTGAAGGGAGCTGGACTCCTTAGAGGACAGAGGCAGCTGTTGTGATTGGACTTGGAGAGGGAGAGGGAGAGATAGTCTTATTGATCAGGATGATGTTATCAAGTGCTGTCGCATAAGTTCCAACTCATAGAGACTCTCTGTATAGGGTTCCCAAGGCTTTAAATCTTTGCTACACAGAAAGTCTCATCTTTCTCCCGCTGAACAGGTGGTGGGCTCAAACCATGGAGCTTGTGGTTCACAGTCCAGTGCTTATTGTATGGAGCCATCATGCTCCTGAAGGAGCTCTGGTAGCATAGTGGTTACAAATCAGGCTGCTAATCTCACGGTTAGCAGTTCGAAACTACTAGTGGTTCTGAGGGAAAAAGATGAGGCTTTCTGCTCCCATAAAGATTTATAGTTTCGGAAATCCTATGAGTTGGAACCACCTCATGGCACATAACCAAATAATAACCATTATTATGCTCCTGATAAGGACAATGGGCGGGCACCTGGCCCTTGCACTCTCCACATCCTCAGTACAGCCTGTGGTCACCTCACAGATGAGCCTCAGAAAAGTGAAATGGCTTCTCCAACACATACATAAGGAGCTCTGGTAGCATAGTGGTTACGAATTTGGCTGCTAATTTCACGGTCAGCAGTTCGAAACTACCTGCTGTTACGCAGGAGAAAGATGAGGCTTTCTGCTTGCGTAAAGATTTACAGCCTCGGAAACCCTGTACAGGGTCGCTATGAGTCGGAACCGACTCCACAGCACATAACAACAACAACACACACATACTCCTGAGAGTGAAGGAATTTTATCTCATCCTGCTGGTGATGGCAAAGTGGTTACCAGTCCCACCTGTTTCTCCAGGGGTACTTTGAGCCTGTGGAGTTGTATCCTAAGAAGCCCTAGTGGTGCAAATTAATTGGTGATGCAATAATAGTTAAGTGTTCAGTTGCTACCAGAGAAGCTGGCAATTTGAACCCACCAGCTGCTCTGTGACAGAAGTCTAGGTAGGTAAAAGCCTGTAACCTCCAACAAGTCTGTTAGCAGATATGGTCAAACTAAGACCCTAAGTTGGGAGGTGACTTGCCCTAGATCATCAGGGGAGTTAGGGGCAGTGACAGGGCTGTGACCATCCTGCCATCCTCCACTTTTGTCCTCTGTTTCTATCTCCCTGTTTATTTATAGATGGAAACACAGTTGGGCAACAGTCACTAGGTAGATGTATGATAAGCATGTTAAGTGCCGTCGAGTCGGTTCCGACCCATAGTGACCCTGTACAGGGTTTCCGAGGGTGTAAATCCTTACGGGAGTAGAAAGCCTCATCTTTCTCCCGCGGAGCGGCTGGTAGTTTCGAACTGCTGACCTTAAGGTTCGCAGCCCGATTCGTAACCACTACGCTACCAGAGCTCCCTGTGATAAGCATAGCACCTTAGATTTTTCTTTACTTCTTGTCTGACCTGGAGCAGTTGCTGAGCACGGCTTGTTCCTAGGGTTTCTGAGCTGGAAATTATACTCACCCTGATTCATATTCACCTGTCTTGCTGTGATGTGCTGGGTGGGGTGATGGTTACTGATTTCAAGGAACGAAGAGCTGCTTGAACATTCAAGCAAGGATCGAGAGAGGAAACATCTTGGAGTAACTCCTTACTGCCTCCACCATGCAGCTGTGATGTACAGGGCTCAGAGCTAAATCCCAGAGATCTAGGGACAGAGGACTCAGCAGCTGTCTTCTGTCCTCAAGGGGAAAATGACATCACAGAGTACATATAGAAATAATCCAAGGTGAGACTCAGAGATGATAGTAGGTTATAAGATAAAGATGCCACCATCAATAGCTGGTTAGAAATTATACTGGGAAAATAACAACAATAGCCATCAGAGAAATTGCACAGGTGCTAGGTGAAAAAAACCTGCAAAACCACAATATAACAGAAAGTTCAAATAAATGGAGACATTTATCTCATTTCTTAACTGAAAAACTTGGTGTAAATATATCAGCTCTTTTCCAACACCAACTTTCATTGGTGTTTCAATTGAATGCAACACCAATGAAATTCTGTTGGGATTTTTCTAAGATGTACACATTATATTTATTATTTTGCATAATTTTATTTTTTATTAATGTATTTTAAAGATATACGATTGAGAGTTGTCAAGAAGTATTTAGAAAAAAAACCCAAGGATGTCAGGGGCTTGAGCTATTAGGCACTAAAACATATTCTAAAGCTACAATGATCACATTATGTGGTAGCATAATGGGCAAAAACAGATTGGAGCTGAGTGAATCTGAATGTAAATCCAAATGTGTGTAAGAATTCATTTTATGATAAAGGGGCATCTCAAATCATAGGTAAGAAGGCCTCAACATGATTCTCTAACCTTGGGATGCAAAGAGACGACACTCCTTTCTTTCTCAGAAAATATTCCTTGGAGGGCTTTGTCTGCATGGGGTAGATTAAAAGCAATTAACATGAATCTAGCTCCAATGTTCACAGAATTAACATTATCTCAAAGAGGCAGCACAAGATCATATGCATTTTAAAAAGTTTATTTTTTCTCCATGAAACCATTATACAAACCCATCATAGCAAATTAGAAAAGAGGAGAGAAAGTGAACCACCAACATGACCCCATCCTGGTATGGCACTATAGATAAGCACTGGATTGGTAATGCTATTCAGGGTCACTATGAGTTGGAACCAACTCGATGGCATGTAACAACAACATACACATATATTTATTCTTTCCCAAACTAGGGTCATAATGTACATTCACTTCCCTTCATATTGTGAGTGTTATATATCATTTGAAAAGCATAATTTCTAATGATTGTGTGCTATTCCATAAGAGGCAGACACCATGATTTAGTTAGCTGATTCTATAAAGTTGGTTCTTTTCCAGTCAGCTATTAAAATGTTCCTTGAACAACCTGTTGGCTTTTGAAAATCTATTTTCTGACTATTTGCTTAGGCTAGATTTTTAACTGCTTTCCAAAAAGATGAACCAATAGTGGAAGGAGGCAGTGCCTGCTTCCCAACCTTATCATGAGCTTTATTTTTAGTCCCCCACCCCACTTTTGGCAGTTTGTTAAACTCCCTCTGTGCCAGGTGTCCTGCTAAGCATTATGTAATGTCACATCAAAAATTCAGCTTCTAGGTATGGCGGCATGTATTTCTCTCCATATCCACATCACCTTCCAGCAGAATCAGTCATTTCTTTGAAATTTACAAATCTCTGACGCGAACGGAGGTCCCAGTATGCAAGGTAAGCACGGGCTTACTTGTGCTTACTTACTGTTGTGAATAATTTCACAAGTTTCACATGAAAAGCATGTTTTAACTGTTCATGACAGATTAGTAAACACAAGTAAATTCTTGCTTATCTTGCTTATTGGGTAATCCTCCCCTGCTTCCAGCTTGCCTTTCTGGCGTCCTGTGTCCCGCTGACTCCAGCCCCCGACCCTGAGCGCCTCTAAGTTCTAGTCCCCCCCACCCCCACCCCCGGACTGGTCCTTGCGATTAGATACCTCTCACCTGAGGTAGAGAGCCCTGGTCAGAGCTTTAGGACAGTGCTTGTCACATGACTGCAGTGATTCGTTTAGCCGCAGGGCTCCGCTGCCAGATAGCCCTTCTTCAAAACACCCAGCATGACTATGATTTGGGTGCATAGTTAGTACTTAGTGCAAAAATAAAAGCAAATCGCCCAGGACTGGTCCAGATATTGACGTATTTGAAAAGGGAATAGATTCGCTACTTAGTAACCAAGTGTTGTTTGCCACAGTAATTACGTATGAGGGCTAAAGAGGAAGAAGCCGGTGCCGGAGACCGAGTCATTTTAAAAGGAGTTCTTGGGTTAGAACCGTTTTAGGGGCAGGATGATCGCTGGTTTTTATAATTGAACTCAAACTCAGCTTTCTCACCCCTTCCTGAGCCAAATCTAATGAAAATACTTCAAATGGCGTCCACACTCATTCTCTTCTAGAGCACTCTTTCGCCCTTGGTCGGTCACCTCCTAGCCCTAGCCGGGTCCAGGGCCCCGAATGCAAATCAGCCGGCAGCACGCCCCCTCCCACCCCAGTCCCGCGCGGGGCTCCAGGTTCGCTGGACAGCCGCGGGGAGGTCGGTTGGGGAAGGCTCTTCCTCGAAGCTCCCTGTGATGGCCCTGTCTCGGGGCAACAGAAGGACCTTGGACTCAGAGACGCTACTTCTAGATGCAGAGGACGAGAGACAGAGGGCCGGCCCTGACTAGAGCACCCTCTCACCCCAAAAACGCACCTGCAGCTACCAGAGCGCGAGGTGAACAAGCAGGCACCGCCCCCACAGAGTAATCGGTGTGCTGGGAAGGTTCTCTTGGCGCGACCGGCGGTACAAAGACCTCCGGCCCTCCAGAGGGCGCTGCCTGGGCCGGCCCGCGCGCTTTCCGAGCGCGCAGGCCCCGGTGGAGTCGCTGGGACCCCGGGAACCGCGGAGTCGGAGCTACCCGGTTGGCGTGTGGCAGGCCCACAGCCCTTCCTTCCCGAGGGGACGACGCGAATGCTGATGATACAGGGAGGAGGGTGTGCAATTTCCCTGGCAAAAGCTGCTCTGGGAGACGAGGTGCGGGGGACTTGGGTGGAGGGAGGAGTTAAGGACAACTTGAATGGAGGCTTGGGGCTTCGCGGGCTGGTGGGATTTCAGGATTTGATGGGTAACATCTGTATCTGCAGAGGAAGGAGTTAACGGAATGGGGAGCAGGAGGAGTTGGGAAAGGAGGGACTGAGATAGAGAAGGGAAGTCTACATGGTTCATGGGCACAATGGAAAGCTTATTGGAATAAGGGTCATTGTTCTTATTGACATGAAATAGGACACTGAGGAGAGGGTGGAAATATAAAAAGAGGTTTGAGTTGGGTGGGGCTGGTGGCAGGTTGAGATTGATACAGAATGGTGGGAGTAGGGAGGTGCTTGTGTAAGGATTAAAACCGCGAGAGTTGAAGTGTTGGAAGTTGGGGATATGAAGGAGGGTTATTGGCAGGGTTTAGATAAATGGGCGGGAGGTTGGTTGAATGGGCTTGTTGCTAACAGGATTGCTAGGTGGGATATTGAAAGGATTGGACATATAGCTGTGAAGTTTAGCAGACAATATTTAAGGACTATTGGTTGGGCTGGGTGACTATAGATAGGAGGAGAGCTAGACTGACGTTTGAATGATAGGCGCCTGCCTTACCCCTCTCTCTATCCCCAGCCACCATGTTCAACCAGCAGCAGCAGTATCACCAGCAGCAACAATTGCAGCAGTTGCAGCAGCAACAGCTCCAGCAGCAGCAGCTCCAGCAGCATCAGCAACAGCAATTACTGCAGCTCCAACAGCTACTCCAGCAGTCCCCACCTCAGTCCTCCATGACCATGGCAGTAGGCAGGTGAGCGCCCCACCTGGGGGGATAGACAGACCCAGCCCTCATAGCTATGTCTTGAAGACCCCTCACCACAGTCGTTTCTCCTGGGGGCATCCCTGCCTGAAGCTTAGGGTATAATGAACTTCTTCCCCCAAGGGACTCCTCTGCCTATACAGAGTGGTGGTGGTGGTGGTGGGGTGCTAGGGAGGAGGGTCTGGCCTCCCCAACAACCCTCTGATACCCCTTTCCGATATACAGGGGGCTCCCCCAGCAGCAGCCACTGCAGCCGTTTCTGAATCTCCAAGGCACCAACTCAGCCTCCTTCCTCAATGGCTCTGTGCTACAGAGAGCTTTGCTTTTACAGCAGCTACAAGGTATGGCTCCAGGTCACTTTCCACTCTGTTTCAGTGGAGATCCCCAGCAGCTGCTCCATACACTAAATCTGATCAAAGTCACTCAGTAACCTGCAAGGGAACTACTCACAGTGCCCTACTTTATACTTGAGGACATAGAGACTCCAGGAATGAAAGTCCCTTAGTTGCTCCTCAGCTGAATGCAGATGATCACAGAGCTGTGCTCTCGGCCATGGTGCTGAGTCTATGCACTTTTGAGTGAGTACTCAGTGCACTTCTCACGCATTCAGATTAGATAAGATTAAGATAACAGTGGTTCAAACCTACCCAAATGTTCCACAGGCTCTTGTAAAAAAAATTTTAGAACATCAAACCCATTGCCATCCCCTGTAGGACAGAGTAAAACTGCCCTATAGACTTTCTATGGCTGTAAATCTTTATGGAAGCAGACTATCACATCTTTCAGTCAAGGAGCAGCTGGTGGGCTTGAACTGCTAATCTTTCAGTTAGCGGCTAAGCACTTAAACCACTGTGCTACCAGGACCCCATCTGTAAAGATTATAACCTAGGAAATCCTATGGAGTAGTTCTATATGGTTGCTTGCTGTAAGTCAGAATTGACACCACCACCTCTGTATCCCATTTGACAGATGAGGACGCTGAGACCCAGAAAAGGGAAGTCATTCTTGGGTCACACAGCATCCACAGTGGTTAAGCTAGACCAGGTCCTGAGCTTTCAGATCTCCAGTGTCAGAGTCAGTAGCTCTGACCTGATCATTAAACGTGTTTCCCTGCCTCAGTTCCATGGAAAACAGAGTGTGGAAAACAGCCTCTCAACTCTTTCATGCTAAACCCCTGAAGGAGTAATCCAGGAACCCAGTGACCTGGGGTTAGCTCTTCAGACCCAGCCCCTCCCGCAGGCCTGTTAACAGTAAGGTAAATGTGGCTTCCTGGGAGTACCCTTTTGGCTAGGCATTGTAGTGAGAGACTTTCCAAACACCCATTTTACAGATGAAGAAACTGAGTCCTAGAAAGTCATAAGCCCAAGGTCACACAGTGAGTAGATGTTGATTGGAATGAGAATTAGAACCCAGGTCTTACTGTGTCCTTAGCCAGCAGACCTTCCTGCCTTGTCAGAAGCTGTGGTTGGTTCATCTTTAGCCCTCTCAGGGCTATATGTGTACAGATGATTCTGAGAACTGACTGGCAAATGATGGATATAAAGATAAAAATACACATAGTAAACCAAAATAAATAAATAACCCTTAAACTTAAAGGGAAAGAACCGCCCCACCACCACCACCACCACCCCACACACACACACAGACCCACATGTGTATGGTTTTATCCCTTTAAGCACAAGCTTATTTATTTTGGTTCTCTGTTGAGAGAAAAGTGAAAAGAAATAAACAAAGGCTGTTGTTGTTAAGTGCCATTGAGTCAGTTTCGACTTAGTGACCCCGTATAGAGTTTCCAAGGAGTGACTGGTGAGATTTGAACCACCAACTGTGGTTCAAACCAAACTTGCCATAGGAAAACCTAAACCATCATTTGAAGATACCATTAACATTTTGGTATATTTCCTCCAATATTTTTGTAGGCACAAACTGGGAAATTAGTACATATTTGTGGTTGTATCATAAGTGTTTGTTGTTGTTAAGTGCCATTGAGTTAGTTTCGACTCACAGTGAATAGCTGGTGAGTTTGAACCGCCACCTTCTAATTCAAACCAACTTTGCAGTCCAGTGTATTATCCTACAGTGCTACACCAGAACTTCATCATAAGTGTAAGACTGTACTATGTTTCTTTTTCTCTGGATATATTGACATGATCATTTACCATATTATTTGTAGTCTTGGTAAAGATGATTTTTAATAGCTGTTAAACATTCCTTTGGGGGGATGTGACCTTACTTACCTAAACCTTCTCCTTTTATTGGACTGTTGAACTATTTCCTCTTTTTTTTTTTTTTTTTGGTGCTGTTTTTTAAATAATATGGGATGAATTCTTCTAGTTTTACATGTTTGAGACTATTTTCTTAGAATGGATTTCCAAATGTAGAATGATGGAAAGAGATGGATGCTTTATGGCTCTTGATAAGTATTGCCAAATTGCTTTTCCAAAGGACTGGACCAGTTGGCCATGCCACCAGCCACGTATGACAGTGCCGGCCTCACCATGCCCACAGCAACACTGGGTATTACATGTTTTTTGTATTATATATAATATATACTAATTTGGTTGGCAAGACAAGCTATATCAATGTTTTATTTTACATTTCTTTGACTAATAATGCCATTGCTGTACATTTTATATTTGTCTGCTAAACATTTGTATTTTTGTAACTTGTCTATGTCCTTTGTCCATTTTGTCTTACTCTTTTTAAGAGACGGTGCACTGGCTCTCTCTGTATACATACATGTATATATGCATTTATTTTAAGTTAATGTCAACTGAGCACTTACTATATACCAGACATATTTGTATGTCTCATTGAACCCTCATAAAACATTGAGTGGCAAGCACTGTTATTATCTTCATTATAGAGATGAGGAAACTGAGGCTGAGAAAGAGAAACATTTGCAAAAGGTCAGTGTCAGAAAGCTATGACAAGTTTTAGTCAGGGAGAGGAACAAGGTCAGAATGTTTTTTTGTTTTTTTTTAAATTGTGAATTGTGATAAGTTTACATGGGAGAACATTGGTTTTATACTCATCCTATCATATTTCATTTTATTGCGATGGTTATAATCCCCTCTATGCATCATCATTCAACTATTTGCTTCTATTCCCTCTGGGTTTTTTGTTTTTGTTTTGGATGTATACAATAACACTCAGGAGTATATAATAATTTAAACGACAAAAAGGCACATTCTGCAAGCCTGCCTTCTTGCCGCCAGCACACAGCCTTTCTCTTTCCATGAGTCTAGAGTCCTCAGCTGCTCCCTCTCTCCATGTCCTCATCTCTGCCTCCATCTCTGGTGTCGCTGCTTCTCTGGATAGGGTCCCACCTGAATATGGTTTTAGAGAGGTCACTGTCTATTACTAGTTTGTGAGAAGGCTGTGACTGAAATTCAGCTAAGGGATGCAGTGGCTTTGGAAGAGATGGAACGAAGGAGGGGATAGAGAGGAGAAATCAGACTAGGAAGGGTTGGTGTAGAAGGCAGTGTTGATAGGATTGGATTTCGTGATAGCTTGAATGAGGATGGACAAAGAGAGATAGGGGTCAGGAGAACTCCTGAATCCTGGCTGGGGCTAGCAGGTGGATGTCTGGGCTTCTCATAGACCCCGGCAACTTGCATCTCTACTCTGTCTCATTTTATCAGTAGAAATAATAGTACCTACCCATGATGACTTTTGATGTATGGAAAGTACTTAGCACAGTGCCTGACTCATAGTAAGCCTTTGATGAAGGGTAGCCAGTGGGTGTGAGGGTGTCTCATTATCTAGGGACCAGCCATCTTGCTGGTTTGCCCTATCGGCTTTGCCCTAGGTCTTTCCCATATCCCAAGGCATATCCTCGCTCATGCATGAGGCTGGGCAGGGATGCTGGGTGTATTCAAGTCACTGACCAGGGAAACATCTGGAGAGGAGAAAGGCAGTACACCACCCCTGTCCCCCAGCTGGAGCAGAAAAACAGTCCTAAGGCCTCCTCTACCACCAGTGCCCACATGGGACTAATCCTTTGGCTCCTATCTCTTTCTTCTGGCTCCTTGGGTGGGGAGTGATCACTTTCAGAATAGTCTGCTATGTTCCCATGATGCTTTGGGGGACTGACCTCTGACAACTCTACCACCCAACTGCATTGTGATCCCTCTTCTCCCCCACAGGTAACCTCCGTGGCTACAACTTGGCAACCCCAAACCTGACAGCCCCCAGCCTTACACCCCCTCAGATGGCTACCCCAAATCTACAGCAGTTCTTTCCTCAGGCCACTCGCCAATCTTTGCTGGGCCCCCCTCCTGTTGGAGTCCCTATGAACCCCTCCCAGCTCAACCTTTCTGGACGGACCTCCCAGAAACAGACCCGCACCTCCTTTTCCACTACCCCTAGTCGCAAGGTGAGTAAAGATGGGTGAAGCCAGTGGAGATAGCAGGGGGAGAGGGGACACCTGGCTATCAGCCCAACTCCACCCACTTTGGCATACCCTGACCTCTTGACAGGCTGGATCCTCTCTTCATGCCTCAATTTCCTCATCTGTAAAGAAGGGGGTTTGGCTTGTCTACTGTTCCCCAAACTTCAAGCATTCCCATACTCTGACATGATTTTTGCCATGTCTAAACACTGCTAATACTATTATTACATTAATATTTTTCTTTAAATCAGCACTGTCCATCATTTTAATTCACCGTTTTGAAAACAAAAAGAAACAGGCAAAGTTAATTTCACTAATATACTTTATTAGTAAATTTTTTTTTTTTTACTCAATATGAGGGGCTTCAAGAAGTTCAGGGAAATATTCCATTATCTTTTACTTCCATTTTTCCACGAACTTTTTGAAGCCCCCTCATATATCAATATATTATCATTTTAACACATAGTCAATATACCCAATTACTAATGAGGTGATTTTTTTTTTTTTTCCTTAAATGTTTTATTGTGAATTATATGATAGTTTACCTGGGAGAACATTAGTTTTACATTCATTCTATC